AAAGAGTGTTGACTCTTCCAAAACATTTGCATTTCAGCAACTGGGAACAGACATTTTCTCTCTTCACTGTAAGCACAGGCCCACACACCTTCATCCTCCAGTTGGGCACACAGCAGACACGTAGATTCAAGAGACGCAACGCACACACATGCATGCACACATACATGTACTCTTTCCGGCATGGACACGGGCTCAGATGCATATACAGACACACAGACACACATAACCCAACACAGACAGACAAAAGCACAGACACAGCTCACCTGTTCCTCCCGAGTAACGCATCAGTGTATTTGCCTGCCCTCTTCACATCTGTTTCTCCTTGTCTGAGGTCTCTTGAGCATGCCAGATCTAACAGGCTGGATCTCACCTTCGCTGTAAATCTGCCCCTCCACATCCATTCACCCAGCTCCACAAATGCACTCACTCGTGCACTCTACCGATATTTTACAGAATATCTCCTATGTGCCAGATTCTGTCCTAGGTACTAGGGAACAAAACAGTCTTTCATCTTGTGTTGCCAACAATCTGGCAAGGGAACCAGACAATAAACAAAAATGTAATATATGCAGGTGGTGATGAATTCCTGGAAGAAAAGCAGTGCCGGTTAAGGGAGTGGAGAGTGACAGAGGGGTGGGTCTATTTTAAATCAAATAACCAGAGAAGGACCCTGATTTTGTGACCTTTGAACAGAGTCCTGAACGCAGGGAGAGATGGGCCATCAGGGTGTCTCGGCAAAGGGTATTCCTGGCAGAGGGGACAGTGCCTGCAAAGTCCCTGGGACAAGGTGCTTGGCATAGTCAGGAACAGCACGGAGGCCAAGGAGGCTGGGTGGAGCCAACAGTGGGAGAACAGCAGGAGATGAGGGTAAACAGAGCCAGGGGCCATTGGGTAGGGTCTGGTGAGACCTTTGGATTTGGCTTTAAGTGTGATAGGAAGCCCTTGGGAGGGTGTAGTGAGGGATGAGGTGAGCTGATCAGATTTGCTAAAGGAACTCTGGCTGCTGCACGGAAAACAAGGCCAAGAGTGGAAGCGAGAAGCCAGTTAGGAGGCTACTGCAATGTTACACCCGCGGATGGGGGGGACCGGGACTAGGGAAACACAGTAGGGACAGTGAGAACTGGCTGGATTGAGGAAGTTTTTTGAAGATAGAGCCAGCAGGATTTGCAGATGGATTGGCTGTGGAATATGAGGAAAGGAATGAAAGATGGCTCCTAGTCATTTGTCCTGAGCAACTGGTGAAGAGGCAACTAGAGGGCTGTTTACCCAGATGGCGAACAGTAGGCCAGAGCAGGTTTGCAGGAGTGACCGTGAGAGCTCAGGACTGGGACTTACAGTGTGAGGGACCTGTGAGACAGCCAGATGGATGTAGTAGATAGTCGGTCTAGTGCTCAGGTCAGCATAGAAACAGAATTTACAGCTTTGGCATGGACAGGACCACCTTAGGAGTGATTAGAGAAGAGGTCCAATGTGAAAGATGAGGAATGGGGGAAATCCAGCAAACACGCCTTCCTACTTGACTTCCCCAATGCTGAGAACTGTTAAACATCAAGTATTCCTCTTATCATGACCTAACCCAGCGATTTTCAACTGGTCTGCCGGAAGCATGTTTAAAACATGCAATACCTGACTATTTAGACTGTCCAATTAAAAAAAATGACAGCAGCCAACACAATAGCCATATGGTGTGAATGAATCAAAATCATACCTGTTTGTTTTGTCAGATCAGAAAAAATATATATTTTTTTGGTGTGCTGCAGAATTTTACTGTATGTGTGCCATGAAATGAAAAAAAAGGTTGAAGCCTGGCTGGCGTGGCTCAATGGTTGAGCACCGACCTATGAACCAGGAGGTCACGGTTTGATGCCCAGACAAGGCACGTGCCCTGGTTGCAGGCTTGATCCCCAGTGTGGGGTGTGCAGGAGGCAGCCAATCGATGATTATCTCTCATCATTGATGTTTTGCTCTCTCTCTCTCTCCCCCTTCCTCCCTTTAAAAAAAATTTTTTAAAAAAGAAACCTTGCCGAAACCGGTTTGGCTCAGTGGATAGAGCGTCAGCCTGCGGACTGAGGGGTCCCGGGTTCGATTCCGGTCAGGGGCATGTACCTTGGTTGCGGGCGCACCCCCAGTGGGGACTGTGCAGGAGGCAGCTGGTCGATGTGTCTCTCTTATATTTAAAAAAAAAAAAAAAGAAACCTTAAAAATGTTGAAAATCACTGATCTAATCCAATCCATCCCCATGTCCTGCCAATTCTACCCCCAAAATATGCCTGGAATTTCTCTTCATCTTCATCATCTAGCCCAGGCCTCCATCGTCTCTTACCTGAACCAGTGCTACATTCACCCAGCTCAGTGGTTCTCAACCTTCTGGCCCTTTAAATACAGTCCCTCATGTTGTGACCCAACCATAAAATTATTTTCGCTGCTACTTCATAACTGTAATGTTGCTACTGTTATGGATCGTAATGTAAATATCTGATATGCAGGATGGTCTTAGGCGACCCCTGTGAAAGGGGCGTTCGACCGCCAAAGGGGTCGCGACCCACAGGTTGAGAACCACTGACCCAGCTGATCTCCCAGTATCCACTTTGTCCCCTCTAATCTGCCCTCCCCACAGCAACCACAGTGATGTTTTAAAAATGCAACTCATGTCCCTCACTGGCTAAAATCCTTTAGTAATTTCCCAATTCACTTAGTATTAATCCACAATTCATAACATAGTTTACAAGACCCTGTGTTATCCTTTCCTTGCTAACCTCGCTTCCTGCAACCCTCCCCCCAGTACCTTACACATCAGCCTTCATCAGCAGTTGGCAATGTCGCTGTTTCTCAAAAAGGCCATGTGAAGCCCTTAACACATAGGGCTTCGCTTCTAGTAGGCCCTCAATAAATGTCAGCTGTCATTATCCTACCTCTGGGCCTTCACAAGTGCTGTTCCTGTTTGAGACGCT